GGGTGGTGGATGATGATTCTCCACACCCAGAATTTGGCGATTGGGTCCTCTAAAAAACCCATTCGCCCTTTAAAAGGGGGAGCATATAAGATATTTCTTCTGCGTTCTTAGCATGCCTTCGTAGTGTAGTGGTCAGTACGCTGGGCGTGTATTTCAAAAGTCCATCGTTCGAGTTCCGGCGAGGGCGTTGCTCATTTTTCATGACTCCAGGATGACTCGCGTTTTGTTTGGAGCTACATCCAGCCACTCCTGCTTCCAAAAAATACCTAATATCTCCACTCAGGAATTTATAAAGCTACTTCGGAAGATGGGTATTTGTGACCTGTGGTTATTAAAGTCACCATTTCAAGACTTTGCTGAATGAGGATTTTAGTAATGTTTTATGCATTGTGATTCTGAATTTACAGGGAACATTTACTTTAGAAGTCAGTGGTAACTTGGACATAAGAAATTATTCTGATGCATTACACGGAACAGTATCAACTGTGCATATTAATGTACATCATATGTACTGTTCACATATTTGCAAAGTTCCTGTGTAATATTTGCTTGTCACATTCATAGTTACTTGTGTTATTCATTTATTTACAGTTCGCTTACCATTATTATTTTTTTTGCAAAATCTGGCAGCACTTGTATGTGGTGTTCCAGATTTTGCGAAAGATGAAACCAGTTCACGTTTCAGTCATGGCTGACATGTTGTACAGCAGTGGGCTTCAAACTGTGTTCTACGGAACACTGGGGTCCACGAGTCAAACTACAGAGTTTCGTGACTCAAAAATTCGAAAAGAAAATTATAAAGCACTGACACTAGTTGAGTAGTGTTTGTTAACAAAAAAAAATATGAAGATACATTTAGTTATAGATTAGTTCTAAAATTCGTTTGCGACGGAGAGAATATATGTTTATTTTTAACTAATAGTTCATTGTAAGTTAGCACTTTCCTATCACTCTTTTTTCACCTACGCTTCTCATGCCAGAATGTAAATGAGACAACGAGCGTTTATTCAAATTAAGGTAGAAAGAAGCGCTATTTAAGCAAGAGGTTCGGAAGTTAGTTTAAGAGTACGCTTCCCTATTTTATCCTTTTACATTTTTTAAACAACCTAAAATGGCTATTATTCTCGTGCGCAGTCCACTGTAAATGTGTTCTTTCACTTTTCATCTGAATCTGTTACCGTTCGGATAAAAAGTAAGATTAGCGTAAAAATCCAATTTAAGATAAGTGACGAAAACCCATCTCAGATACGTGTTTTCGAGCAACAGCTTGCGGGCAAAAGGAACGCTCGTAGTGAAAAACTGAACTTTTACTGCATTTAAGCAAATATAATTTAAACTTGATTTTTCACCCGGTAAGAAAAACTAATGTGAAAAGTGATTTTCACCTAATAACTAATTAAAAAAGCTGCTATTGCGTGCTTAAGGGTTCGCAATAGATTGAATGCACACAGGTCCGATGTTTATTAACCTGTCTTCAGAGCTTTGAAGAAACACTTCGGATTTTTTCACAGAAAAACTCATACAAGTGTTTACAGTATCACAGAGTACTATCAGTATTTACACTTCACACTACTAAGAACGTTAAACACAACGCAATGCAAAGCACATCTAAAGAAAAAGCTAGCTCGGATATACAGTTCACGCGGAACCAAAGATTCGCAACAACGATAACTAAGCAATTGAGAGCAGATGCTTTCTCTTCGGCTTTAAATAGTTTTAAAACGGTGGCCGAGATATTTCTAGTACTTTCTGCTTCTCGAAATTACCTGGAAAGCAATATGAAGGTAGAATTACAGCTATAACTAACATAATGATCAATTACATTTATTCAATTTCAGTATATATTACGGTGACACATTGACTGAACCAAATAACGCCAAATTTGGTGACAAAACAACTCGCCAAAACGTTATCAGCTTGGCGATATCTCGCCAAATTACTGAGATACCCATTTATTCAATATTAAATGCGCTTATCCGTGTATTCTTACTTTTCTGGCATAGCATTCTCTTAAAATTGGTTTCGCGTTACATTACACAGAAAATACAACAGTTTCACATATAACTGCACTAAAATCATCTTTCTATATACAAAATTCGTATTACTACTTTTCCTTACTGCGTGCACAAAACTTTAATAACCAATTTTTATTACATCGCTATGTTTAAAAGTTAATCCAATAATACTTTTAAGGATAACGCAATATATAAATTTTAGTCATTATTGTTCTGTTTAGAATTATTTAAAACCATAAAGTTTAATACATTTAGAAGGTAACTATTAAAAAGTTATTTTTTGTACAGTAATTATATTTCGTTACAACTAATACTGATATATACTATTATAAGTTTCTAAGAAACATTATTCAACTGGAATTTCCTTCATAAAATTTCTGAATAACGGTTGCATAAAAAATCTATAACTTAAAATTTTTAAATCAGCTTTAATATTATGAAATCATATTTTTGAAACTTTGATAAAAAACACCATATTTGAAATATTTATTCTGCGAGCTAAGTAACAATTATGCATAAATCTTTTCTTCACAAAAAAGAACTAGTCTACACGCTATTGAACAAATATTTGAAAGCCAAACATTTCGTCATTTTCTGTGCCTAGAAATATTTTATTTCCTTTTCATATAAATCTTGAAAATTTGTTTCTTTTTATAAAATTAAAATAATTGAAACTTGAATTCCCGTTTATTTAGCGTGTGCTCAATCATGAAAAGGAGAATGTCATGTATATTTCTAAAGCTGTCTACAAAATTATTGGATTAAACATTTATTACATAATTTGATTCATGTTCTCAATTTAAGAAATAAATTAAATAAGGCATTTTTTTATTATGAAATGTTTGCTTTTAACACAGCTTTCACTAAATTATTAAATATTTTGTATTTTTAGACGAGAATGCATTTGAGTTCCATAAAATGCATTTGAATAAAATATTTTTCACTTATATAATAACAGCTTTCAGACAGACGAAAGAAAAGTATTCCCATATGATCAAATTACCTTAAAATTTTAACGGCCGTATACAAATGAAGCTAATGATAGTCACTGATATGTGAAGATGTCAAAGGACATTTCTACAAATTACTTTCTCGTCAGGAAAATATTTATGCATTACCTTAGGTTTGAAATTCCCTTTTGCAGGTTTGGTAGATTAGTAAACTGTAAAATATTAAGAAGATAAACAAAACTCCTTTAATTTAGACCAATGCATCATGCGAAAATGAATGCTGTTTCCATCCGAATGCTAAAAGTTCTTCGTAAAAAATATTTAACATATTCTCACGAAAAATCAAAAACGAGTTTTCTTCTTCTAAGCTGAATCGAACGTAAGAAACAATATTGTTGCAAAATGCCAGATAGCTTTAACTCTAAGCGGGTTTAGGGTTAGTTGGTTGGTAACGGGGGACGGAGACGCTTCATGTCTAACGCATGTAAACAGGTATGTGTTCCGCGTCCTCCACTAACCAGGAACAACTCTCTGAGGCCTCAAGAGGCCGCCTTGGGAGCTTTTTAGGATGTTAACAAGAGCATTTGCACGCCATACAATCGCAGATTGCATTTGTTTTACTGTTTTGACATTTGCTGTTGCAATTTGCTACGGTAATTTTGCGTATTCATAATAAAATTCAAATAAAAATACAAATTAAAAATACAGATACAAAAATACAGTTACAAAATAATAGGATTAAAATACAGGCTCATAGGTAAAAAACATTAAGTATTATGCATATACAGAAGAGGAAACTTTAAAATACATGCTGGAAACATTTGACTACACATTATTTGATAAGTGTCTGTAATAGGGACTTAAGTAAATTTTAGGAGTAGACGTATGTGATTGCGGATGTGGAACTATGTGCTGACTTAATTAATGTATCATGCCTTGCGAATTTTGGTTAATGAGGAGAGCACACATCTTGGCCCATTCCCTTGAGTTTGTTGACAACTTTGTAGATTGGTTTTATTGCCGGTTTGTGCTTTATAAACAAGCGGTGATTGCCAGAAAATGGCAAGAAAAAGCAGAGTTGCCAGATTTGAAGCGAAATCGCCTATTTAGCGACAAAATTGACGATATGCCATAGGCGGAGCGAGAACATTCTAGAACGTATTCTTACCGGTTTGTGTCAGAATATTCTCAAAGGCAAGTCAAAAGCTATATAAACCCTGCCTGTACGCGGAGCAGCATTTTATCGTGAAGAGTATCTTGAGTGTGATGAGTTCAGTAGCAGTGTTTTGAGTTTAAAGATTAGCTCAGGAGCTATCGGCCGAGTCGGGAGCTGTACTTCACTGCTTTGTCGTGAAGCTGTCTTCACCGTTATAGCCTGAGAGCCCGAAGACTGTGTTGCTGGTTGTTTCAATGTATTTATCGTAGTTTTCTGATGACTGTAACTCGTCTTTAAAACTGTCCTGTGTAATATTGACGAATAAATTGTGTTTTGATTCTTCATCCAGTTATTGCCATCAATCAATCCAAATCCACGAACCGGTAGAAAGCAACAATACTAAATACCTGTAATATACTATATTACAAAATTTCTTTAAAAATCAAGGATGTATTAGTTTATTATATTATTTTATCATATTATATATTTATATCTTACTCAAAATCTTTTCATACTTCTTTAAATTTTACAGGGAAAAATAATTAATGCTTAAAATGCTAGTTTTAAAACATTAAAAATTTTGCCCACAGTGCATAGTGAAGGAACAGACAATTTACATCCATGTCTTCTCCACTAACCTCTTTCCCATCTGGACAGCTCATTTCAAGCGCATATGGCTAAATTTTAACCTGCATTTCTTCGAGAATTTTTTACGTTTTAAACCCAATCGTGCTTAAAAAATCAAGCTTTAAAGATACTAAAACAATTAATAGTTCATGTATAACAGATTTGTTCGAAATATTCTGGCATTTCTCATTTTCTAAACGGCACGGCATACGGGAAATTTCCTTTAATAAATGTTATAAATAAAAGACTTACGTATGAAATCATAGGCATGTCCCAAGCCGCAGCAACGAGAGCTTCATGTTCGCAACCCTGATCCAAGCCTATGAAAGCCACAACTCCTTCTTGCTTCATCTGGGTCATTTTTCGTATGGACATTGGGCTTTCGTAATGCGATGAGTCAGGTGAGCCACTATTGTGGAAGATGAATCTCAGGTTATGATCTGGCAACAACTCAGGATCTACGTTTACCATGTCAACAGCCAAGGGAACGGCCCCAGCTATCAATTTACCTATATCCTGAAAAGAAATAAGAATATTTTAATTTAGTCCTGGAATCACGTTCTACAAATTAAACACGTGAAAAATGATGGATTTATATCGTTCATGTAAGACAGGCAGCTGACTATTAAATTTGCAGTATCACTATGATATCGAAACTTTCAAAACGCCTCAGTGAGATACAATCCGGTGACGTCGAAGGTCACGTGATGTAAGAACTGCTAATGTAAACAAACAAGCTTGTGCTGTGGTAGATGTCTTGAAAATTCGGAAACTTCGTTTATTTTTTAATTAGTTATGAAATTTACATTTCATCTTTAATTATTATTCCATCCATTAATTAACTCATATGTTATCGTTATCTTCAGGATATTCTTTTGCTAGCTGCTTTACCATGTTTTGATTTATTAATATTTATTTATGAATTCTTTCCTTGATCTGATAATTACTTCATTTATAAAAAATGTAAAAATGAGTACATTAAATCATGTTTACATGGAGTGTTCTTCTACGCTGAAAAGTAAGTTACCATAAATATTTTTTAAGTTATAATTTTATCACCTTAACAAGCAGAACGGTAAATATAAATAGTCGGTTCCTGAAAACCGTAATAGTCAAATTTCCGGAGCACTATAAATGCAGTTTGCCCTTAAATCATGTACGAATAACGATGCCAATGTTCTGCGCAGTTCAAATTAATATATAATTTTATACAACTTAAAATTTAATTTTTAGCAACTGACTATTATCCTATTGATAGTGTAAACTGCAAATTAACACATTTTGTATACTATAATATATATGTGACAAAGAAAAATATAGAGATTTGTGCAATGAGTTCACTGCAGTATAGCTGTGAAAACTAATAATTTTCATAATAATTTTCTTCATTTATAATAATAAATAATAATAAAGCACTATCTGTATACATTTTAAATATTCAAAAAATAAATTTGAAGTTATTTAAGATGTTTAATTTTTTTAACCGCTTCATAGTTTTTGGTTCAAGAAAGAAATGCAGATGTAAACTCTGGAGTTTAGAAAATAAAATCTTTGTTGAGTTTTAATGTATTCAGTAACAAGAATTTTGTTTTATCACTTAGCGATATAAGATATTATTTTGTTGATAGATATTACTTTGTATGATAGTTGTTCGATGATTTATATTGCTACACCATTTTTCCTTTGAATACAAAATTGCATATACAGGAACGCATTGATATTTTAGACAGTAAACATATTTGTCGAATAGCGAAATATTTCTTCAGTTTTTTATGATCTACATTTACAGAATGCTAAAATCACCTTTGAGGTATCGAACTGTTATGCTAAATTTTCAAACCTCAAGCTATTTACAGTTTCTTTTTTTGGGAGTAATGAAACTGGGAATGAAGATTCGTGCTGAGTTGATGAATATTAATGAAGATTCGCACTGAGGATTAAATTCAGAGAACTAAAAAGTGGTACACATCTGAATTCCTGTATACATGCTTAGTATTCCAATATATCTTATATGATTCCCTCCAAAATGCAATTTTTATATAAAATTAATTACTTTCTGAACACTACTAGCAACTGAGTGGCCGCTGAATGCTGTTAGTTCGACGTCAGCCTCCTGACGTCGCATGGTAGGTGGTATGGAGCTGGCTGCATGGTCGATTTCCGTTGTTTTCCCCGTGCGAAACGTGACTACGAGCCAATTTCCTCTAAAAGATCTCCACGAAGGCATCTTTTTCCTTAGGTAGGCAGCCTTTGTGTGCTTTCCCATATTCAATTAACCTAAACGGTGTCTAACTTTTGAACGAATTGATATAGATATGACATTATAGACGCAAACATATAACAACAGATTAATTAATAAGTTTCCGAACTTATTTTAATTCTGAATTAGAAAATGTTCCATAATAATTGCTTTAGTAAAAATTTGTATTTCATTTGCTGCACAATTAAAATTCATTTTGTCATCATAATTATTCATGAAAGGAAGGGTTTCTAAACATAGTTATGAAACGCTCATAAGTTCAGCTTTCTTATTTCGAATATAATTTTATTTTTGTTTGTCGGATTAAAGAAAGTGTTATCTACCTAAGCGAAAGGGGCTATCGTAGAACGCCTTCAAAGGAAATTGGATGATATACCCTTTATATATGTGAGAGACCAAGAAAAGTTCATGCAGTCAATCCGTTCACTGGAAGTTAAATTATCAGAGTTAAAAAATATTATCCGCCCGTACGCTAGTTATCATTTAGAACATATAAACCAAATTTTCACTCAAGTAAGCAGTAGTCGTGAAATGTATGGTAATTATTAATAACATTAAAATTAATTTTCATCACCTGAAACATTTATATTTATCACACTGCCTTAAAATGCACATTAAAAACTGGAATAAAGTGATAAAAACACTTATGAAAAAATGAAACGAAGACAATTTCAAATTTGAATTGAAACCAAATTAAAAAGAATTTAATCAGAGATAACTGCATAAATTATGCATTTTTAAAAACATTCAAGCTTTTAAAATAATTTTCGAAGAATTTTAACAGCCGAACTTCCAAAAACAAATTTCTTTGATATTTGACCTTCAAGCCATATTTGCACAGGAAAAAGCCTGAAAACGCAAACGCTTGCGAATCGAAGTAACAAATTATTCTTTTTATTTTCTCCTCTCAACAAAATATTTTCTAGAAGATACCAAATTTGCCAACAAAACATGTTAATTCAAAACATGGACAATTTTCCCCAATCCATTAGCGGAATCCCACAAAAGAACGCACTCTACGGGGTGTCATAAAATAGTCATCAAGCCTGAAGCGCTAGAATTCCTACCCCCTGCCATCAATGACAAACTGTGCCGAAACCCCAGTTGCTGTATACTTAGTTCGGGACACATATGTCCCAACCCCCGGGAAAAGGTTAATACAAATAATTAGTAACCGGCAGGGAATTAAGTATACTAAAATGAAATTAAAAAAAAGGAATTATCTTTAAAAAATAACAAACTAATTCGTACATTGCTAATGAAACAGCTAAGTTTGTGTGCAATGTAGATGTTCAATCGAGAGTACACAATGGTGATAAAAAGTAATGGCAGAGCAAATGAAAAATTTGCAGCTTCGCAGAAAATGAAAAATTCAATAAGCTACATTTACATAATCTAACGACAAACAGAACATAATATAATGCAACCTTGATAACAAGATTTAAACGATTCGGCAATTTTTTTCTTCTAATGTTACTAACTGCCATCTTCACTCCTCTCAGGGATTGAATGACTTACATAAAAATTTGCATTGGATCGGAAATTAGAATTTAAGTAGTAACATAAAAAAAAATTATAATAATATTTTCTGACTCAATCAAATCGCAAAAAAGACTTGTGATATCTTTTCCTTAATGCATATTCAATCAACGGGTCAGTCAACCTAAAAAAGAGTCGAACTTTTCCATTAAAAGGCGCAGTCTTTTAACTATGATCAAAAGAAAATGAACTTAACTAAAATCTATTCATTTGCAGTTAATTTAGTAACGAGGCAGGCTATGAAACCATAAATTGCTATTAATATTCGTGTGTCAAATTAATTCGGTTATTTTAGACGCTAAAGATTTAATCTTTTAAACTATAGAAACTTGCCTGAAATGTTTTACTGGCGGCGGCAGTCGTGTACTTGGCTTAAAGTTTGAGTTTTATTGTATTAGCATTGAAGAAGATGAGCTCTTTCAAGGCTGTCATGTCACCGCATTTTTTCTAATAACTGACATGGAAACATGTAATGAGTTTAGTAAGAACTGATATTTGCATTGTTATCGATTATGTCTTTTTCGGAAACGAGCTGTCGCAAAATCACCATACACTTTAGCTGATTCCTCCACTATATTCAAAATATTCGGGGAAAATTAATAGGAAAACGCACTTAAATTCTGCTTTAAACGTTCTGACAGTTACGGAAAGTTGTAAGCTCTTCAAAATAGTGATCGAACGTGGGTAATCTGACGGTTTTAGTTAGAACTGGTAGCAGAAAAGCAGCAGTGGCGACACATGCCTAAGATGGGTGACGTGATTTCAAAATTGAAATGGTATAGTTTTTTGTAAAGAAAGTATAAATCCCTTGTTCAACATGCATGATTTCCATTGATAACGGGAACGCAACAACGACAACGCGAATTTAAGATGGGTGATGTGAGCGCACCTTTCTAAGATAAATGCCCTATCGTGGCCCCAGTGGAGAGGTTTTTCGAAATCTTATGAATTCAGTTATCTTCCTGTTGTATTGAAGGCCATAAGTGTGCAAAATTTCAGATTTATACCAATTACCACACACACAAACGGCTATTTTTCTTAATGTGTATACAGAATAATATAATAAGACAATAAGACAAGTTAATATAATTTAATAAGACAAGTTAGGGTCCTTTCACGTGTTTATTTGATAATTAATAGGGACTGAAACGAATCTGCGTTTATTGCCGTTTATTTGTTAATTAAAAACAGAATATATTTGAATGAAAAATTAAATATATGATGCTTTGTTTAATGACAAAAACTCTGCCGAGTGAAAGATAAAACTGTTTTAAACTGATAAAACTGTTTGTGATTAAATTTAACATAAATATTTTGTATTCTGCAGAATGGCAACACAAGGTTTTACGGATGACTGATGACAAAAATCGTTACCGTGTTATATTGTAAATTTTACTCTTTTCATTCTATATTTTCAGTACATGTACAGTATGTTTTAGCATGCAAGAAATAGAAAGCGCCACTGAATTTCTCTAGCATTGTGCCCAAATTTAAGGGAAAAAATATCATATTGAAATACTTTCTTCCGAATAGTTTTACTTTTTGCACTATACAAAACGCGTGACTGGAATGTCTAAAGAAAAAGCGAATAATGATTTTACAAGGTGTGTGTGTGGGGGGGGGGAGATGAAAATTCGCAGAAAAGTTTCGAAATAACTCGCGATGCTTCTGGGCCTCATTACCTTAACTATTCCATGAAAAACTGACACCGTATGAT